AATGGGTTCGAGCCCTGGTCCAGGAAGATCCCACATGCCACGGAGCAACTAAGCCTGTGCACCACAACTACTAAGCCTGTGCTCTAGAGCCCGTGAGCCACAACTACCAAGCCTGCGTGCCACAACTACTGACGCCCGCGCGCCTAAAGCCCATGCTCCGCAACAAGAGAAGCCACCGCAATGAGAAGCCCGCACACCACAGTGAAGAGTAGCCTCCACTTGCTGCAACTAGAGAAAGCCTGTGTGCAGCAACAAAGACCCAATGCAGCCAAAAATAAATTAATTAATAAATTATTTTAAAAAAATTTAAAAAAGAATATCCAATGGTGATATCTTGCATATTTCTATTGCTAGATCACACTATGGACTACCAGTGCTTTCTTTACTACTGGAAATAGAGTCATTAGTATCTTTAAATCTAATTAGCTTAGAAAATCGATTCTAGAAACTCCAGAACTAACTCAAAACATTCATCCTTAAAATTCTGTTCCCCTAGAACCACTCTTGATATTAAAATCTGTATTAGTCAGGGTTCTCCAGAGAAACCAAATTAACAGGATATATTTTTGTGCGTGTGTACGTGGGTGTGTGTCTGTGTCTCTGTCTGTCTGTAGAGAGAAAGAGAAAGATTTATTATAAGGAATTGGCTCATATGATTATGGAGACTGACAAGTCCCCAAATCTGCAATCATCAAGCTACAGACTCAGGAAAGCTAATGATGTAGTTCCACTCCAAGTCCAAAGGCCTGAGAATAACGAGGGTCAATGGTGTAGTTCTAGTCTAAATGTTAGCATGCTCAAGACCCAGAAAGAGCTGATGTTTCAGTTCCAGACTAAAGGCAGGAAAGAACCGATGTTCAAGACTGAAGGTAGTCAGGCAGGAGTTTCCTCCTACTCCAAGGGGTCAATCTTTTCATTCTATTCAGGCCTTCAACTGGGCCCCACTCAAAAGTGACTGGCTAAGGCTCACCCACATTAGAAAGGGCAATCTGCTTTACTCATTCTACCAATTCAAATTCTAATCTCATTCAGAAACACCCTCACAGATACACCCAGAAAATGTCTGACCAAATGTCTGGGTACTCCATAGACCAGTCAAGCTGACATATAAAATTTAGCAACACTGTTACTAATTAGCCTTTAATGCCAATAAGTAATATATGCATCTTATTTATATGAGAAATTCTTATTGACTGAAAGAGATTCAGAATTACAAAGACTAATGTTATCTATTAACATTAGTTCTGATTCATCACATATCCTTCTTTAAGTATAAAATAAGATTTTTCTCAAAAAAGAAAAAAAAAACATGAAAATATTTTTAAAAAAGAAAAAAAAAGAAAAAAAGATTTTTCTCATTCTATATATAATAAATCACTGTGGACTCTTATTTAAGGTATAGAACCTTATCTTAGGGATATTTTAAGGTACTTTAAATATAGTAAAATATTTTTATTTAAGTTTTTTCATACCAGTATATATTTTGAGTGATTATCTAAAAAGATATTTTACAAGTTACCTTAATAATAGAGCAAAAATCATAGTTTAACATAGTTGATTTATGAAAAAAACATTTCCTTTAAAGAAGTGAAATCTCAGCTAAGTAGATTTTCCATAAAGTGACTTCAGACACATAGTTTACTTCATGTTGTGACATCACAGTCAATGTTATTACACATAGAGTCAATTATTGAAATGTTTTCATGTTTTGCTATTTAATTTGATTAAATTAAAGCCAAGTGACTAGTTTTGACATTATTTTTATTTCTTGATTTCCTCCTTTCCTTTTATACATCATGACTATCATATTAACTGTTCTTGCTTCCATCAGAAATGAAGAAAATATAAATGCTATGGTATGTTTTTATTAACTAAAATTGTTTAATGAGCCATTTTGTAGGTGCCTGTAAAATCCAATTGTGATGAATTTATAAAGGATACATCAAAAAAGGACTCAACACATTATTTACAATAGCCAAGGTATGGAAGCAACCTAAGTGTCCATCAACAGGTATATGGAGGGCTTCCCTGGTGGCGCAGTGGTTAAGAATCCACCGGCCAATGCAGGAGACACGGGTTCAAGCCCTGGTCCGGGAAGATCCCACATGCCATGGAGCAACTAAGCTCGTGCACCACAACTACTGAGCCTGCACTCTAGAGCCTGTGGGCCACAACTACCGAGCATATGTGCCACAACTACTGAAGCCCACGCACCTAGAGCCCGTGCTCCCAACAAGGGAAGCCACCGCAATGAGAAGCCCGTGCACCACAACCAAGAGTAGCCCCCGCTCACTGCAAGCAGAGAAAAGCCCATGCAAAGAAACAAAGACCCAATGCAGCCAAAAACAAAATAAATAAAATAAA